GATGGCCAGGTTCTCTGCCTCTCCATCTAGTAGATCCTTCCGGCTCAGAGAAGAGGCAGCGAGGGACGCATCGTTTCCATCTTGCCCAGGAATCCCTTCCTGGGTGACCCCCCCCCCCGAGGGGTCAGACGGAGTTCACGCCTGCCCAGGACGCTCCTTCTGCGGGTCCTTGCCCCACGGCCTGAGCGTGACTTCCTCCACCCTATTTTGCAGAAATAATTGAACTGTGCTTGGCAAGGCAGGAGAGCTCCGCAACACGTCCCTCTTCTTCTTATTTTTTCACGCTGTTCCCCTTTAAAATACGCTGTTGAGAAAATCTGGAAGCGTTTTAGGATATGCCATGGAGCAGGAGGCGTCTCCTGACTGTGGTATGTACGAACAAACCAAAACAAAAATTCCCTTTCCTTTCCAGAGACAAGGCCAGTAGTCTGGGTTGTCATTTAACAGGAGCGTGGAGGCAAGTCTCCCATACATCCTTCCTAAGAGCCTGCTTCTGCGCAAACAAAGGCACATCCCTGCTCCCGAGCTGTCTTCCCGTAGGAGTGTCCAGCTACGAAAGTAGGCATTTCCTGTGTTGACTCTTTTGTTGTTTTTTTCCTTGTGTTTCTTGCCATCGATTCTGGGATATTTAGGGGCAGCCCTTCCCCCATCACGCAAGCCGGACAACAGCGGGGCGCACCACTACGTGTCTCAGGAATGATGTCTACAATCCCCCTTCAGCAAAGAGCCACGAAATTCCGTGGCCATCCACCCTGCCCTTTAGAATATCCAACTCTTTCATGGAAGAGTCAGGGTGCCCACGACCCGCAGCGAGCCGGAGAAATGGACCATACATCCCCCGAGACCCTGCCTTGGTGTAAAATGGGATTAAAAATGGAAAGACACAAGTATTCCATAAAAATACGTCCCTGTTGGTTCCCCAAATCCTGTGGACTCGCTGCAGGTAGGATGCGGGCGCTCTGCTGATTCTGTCTCCATCTTCTTTTTGATGTTACAAGAGCTCTGGAGAGGAGGAGGAAGAGGAGGAGGAGGAGGAGGGAGAGGTGGAGAAAGGGGCCATGGAGGAAGAGAAGAAAGAGGAACCTCCTATCATTTCTTGAAAGGCAGGCATGTCTACAGAGTCAAAATCCCAGCCATGGGCTGGGCACACCGTGGCACAGTATACACACAGCTTCGGAGCCCTGCCGACCCGCCAGAGGCTGAGTAAAGGGAGGGTGGAGGAAGAGATGGGCAGAGGCTGAGACGGAGGCACGCACACTCACGCCGTGGGAAAAGAGGGGGCTGTGGGGTCCGCGGACCCAATTCCTAGGACTCGTGATCCACTGGACTGGTTCGCCTCAAGGACAGGCACGTGGCAGGGGATGACTGGCCTCACCAGCTTGGTGGAGCGCACGCACGTTAATGTCATGGACATAAAGACATGTCCTGGGGACAGCTTTATCCAAAATTAATCAACGGGTCTGGGGTGTCCGAAGAAAGAGGATCCTTAAAACTGCTTTCTGGAAATACGTCCACACAGGGGACTGAGAGATAAAGCGACAGAAGTGAATTGACTCAGGTATGGACCAACGCCTGTTGCTGGCGTACCCACAGAGGGCAGGGCGGAATTCCTGGAGCCTTCTAGAGGCAGGCCAGGTAGCTGGCCCTTCAGGCCCGAGAGGGAACTCACGCTATGGTCCATTGCGGGCCACGTCGAAGGCCCCTGGCACAGTCGTGGGCTCGCAGCAGACAGCCCTGTTGTTCCCCCTCGCAGTGGCTTTATGCTTCGGCCCCCTGTGGGCGCTGCTGGTGACTGTCTCTACACCACCTCCCCCCACCTTCCTTAGGCCTCCTTCCCCCTGAAAGCCAGACGGCCCCTCTCAGCTTCCTCCCCTTCGGGGTTAGCAGCGTGCCCCATCCTCTCCAGCCTCTGCCCTTGCCCTGTCCCCACATCCTTCCTCTTCCCCCCACCTCCTACCACCCGGCTCCCCAAGGCTCCCAGCGCTGGCCCTGCCCCCGCAGGCTCTCCAAGCTGGAGAAAGAAGTTCCACCTTTTTGGCAGGAGGACGCTGGCAGCTGGGGGGAAGCAAGCAGCCAGGAGCCGCAGGAAAGGCGGGAGGGCGTGGCGTGGGGCTCACGTTGCAGCCGGGCCTGCGGCGCGGGGGACGCTGGCTGGCGGGGCGCAGCCGACTCCAGCCTGCACACGGGTTCTGAGGCGCAGCCGGAGGCCACCTCGTTCCTCCCGGAGAAGGGCAAACTTTGCTCCTTCTCTCTGCCCCGAAAGGAAGCACACCCTCTCCAGCGCGGCCGGGGAAGGGCGCTCGGGGTGCGGGCACTGCGGCGGCTCTCAGCGCTCCCTGCTTCCCCCCTCCACTCGGGTCCCAGGAATTTCTCTCCGAGCAGGAATAACCCTTCCCAAAGCCGTGCGCCCGGGGCGCCTGCCCTTCCTCCAGCGAGAGTGGGAGAGGCGTGCCCACCCGGGACCAGGCGCAATGAAGAGGCGAGAGGAGGGCTGAGCGCAAAGCGGCGCGGCCAGGGTCCCTTGGCGCGGGCCCGCGCCTGTCTCCCCGGGGTGGGGCAGGGTGGGGGTGGGCCGAGGCGTGGACTCCAGAAGACTCTCGGCGACGGGAATAAAAGGGCGTCGGCTCGCCGTGCCGCGTTGGGAAGCGGTGTCACCTCGCCCCCGGCCCCGGGAAGGGCATGGCTCCCGCGGACTCCGGGCGGTGACTCGCGCGCTCCGGCCCCGTGCACGCTCAGGGCGCACCGCTCGCGTGGCTTGCGGCCTCGAAAGGACAGGTGAGGTCTGAGAGCAACCTGGGCTCCCGGTGGAGGGACACTGTCACTTTCTGCGAGGGGTGCAGAGAATCGGGAGGTGGCCAAGGGGAAAACGGGGAGGAGGGGCGTGAAAGCGAAGAGGCATATCAACTGTTCCTGCGCTATTTTCAGGGACTGGGGGCCAGTTGCCATTCAGGAGCGGAGCGGATGGAATCTGGCAGGAGGACGGGTTGACTAGGTCTGATGAAATCCGACCCTTCTCCCTTCCTCCTCCCCTCCCTCCGTCTAGGGACCCCTAACCCCTCCATCGCTGGTTTCCAGGGAGCCGCCCACGGCATTTCCCCCGGGAAATCGATCGCGCCCCTGCGTTGGCGAGGGCTGTTCAGCGGCGGGGCCTCCTCGCCAAGTCCCCTGGCTCCTGGCGCTCAAAGTCTCCTCCTCCTCTTACTTTTTGCCCTGCAAACGGGGAGCCCCGCGGCCCGCCGTGGGCTGAGCCTCGCGGAGGCTGCAGAAGTCATCATCGGGGACAGGCGGCTTTCGGTGTGCCGCTCCCAGGGGACCCAAGGGGAAACCCGAGCCACGTTCCCGGAAGCTCCGATTTCTCCGCGCCGCCGGCGGGGCGCGTCGAAGAGGGCGCTGGAAGCCGGCCAGGGTCTCAGGGCTGCGCGCCTGGCCACTCCGGGCTCTTCGCCCCGGGCGTGTGCAGGGAACAGCGCCCCGCGCCCGGAGCGGGGTGTTCCGAGGTTTGCTCGCCCGCACCCGGCGGCCTTGCAGGCTCCGGGCAGTTTCCGTGGCGGCCCCGGGACTAGAGTCCCCTGCGGCGCGTGCTCTCGGTCCCCAGGGAGGGTCCCAGAGGAAGGTAGTGAGACGCCCAGGACACAGGGCGCGAGCCGGGATGCCCTTGGCACGAGCCCGCGGCCCCAGTCCAGAGCGCGGGCAGGGGCGGGGAGGCCTGAGCTCGGGCCAGTCAGGAAACTCCCCTCGGCTGAGCTGAGCGCTGGGTCCCAGAGCGCAGAGGTGGAGCCTGGACTCGCTCGCTGCAAAGCCGCCTGCGCCCTCGGCTCTGCGGGAGCAGCTGCGCGGCGAGGCGAGCGGGCTCTCTGGGGACTCTATCCGGAGGCCAGGCAAAGGTGCACGAGCTACGGATTTGGGACGTGTCTAACCTGTACGAGCGGGTGTAGAGATTTTTTTCGTTGTTGTTATCAGCAGGGAGCGCTTGCCCAGAGCAGGGGCGAACGGAGAGGCGCGGCTCCCTCCAGTGCCTGTTACTTGCCAAGGGGTCTGCTCTTTTTATGCAAACAGCGTGGGAGAGACGACAAAACCGGGAGATGCTGCAACGTGGCCGGGGTGGGGGCGGGAAAACAGAATCAGGGACTTTGTGAAGAAGGGAGCCGGTGCCATTTAATGTGCAGCTGAAATTCCCTTCTCTCTTCTCCTCCCCTCCTCTCTCTCTTTCTCGCTCTCCCCCTCCCCCCTCCTTTCTTCCTTTTTTCCTTCCTTCCTTTCTTTTGACCTCCCTCATCTCTTCCTGTTGTGGGCGCTGGCCTGAACATATTTCACCAGGTAGTCTTTCCCTTTTTCTGCCACGGCAGATTTTAGAGACGGTTCCCCAAAGTTCCTCTTTCAAGGAAAAAAAAAAAAAAAAAAAAAAAAAAAGGATGTAGCCCCATCTCAACCATTTGGCTCTTGCCCGAAACTAAAATTGAAGGATCCTAACCAGCCCACAAAGGACAGAAGGAGTCTCGCTTGAGTGAGTGCCTCTTCGAGCACTTTGAGAGGATAGAACCAAAACTTTTATGCATTAAAAAACGCAGAAGGAGAGTCCCCCAGACAATAATGGCTTTTGGGGGCGTTTTTATTTAAATATGTACAGTATACAATACAGTATACAATGGCTCAGAATGAACACTGCAGGCAAACGCTTAATTCTCTCTCTCCCTCTCCCTCTCTCTCTCTCTCTCTCCCATACCCTCGCTCACAAGGTAGTGACATTCCCAAATCGCATATCAAAGTCATAAATTAAGGCTCTGTTCTTTGTTAAGGGTGGACTTAACGTCAAAAATATATAGATACGTTTCATCTTTTTCCCTCAAATATTTTCAGCGTCCCCAAAATCTACCACGGCAGGTCTTGGGAAGCTTCGAACCAGGACGCCCGACTCTAACATTTACTGAAGGCAAAAAAGGGCTCCTTGGGCATCAGCGCATCTGGTCTTGTGGTTGCCTCCCCCCCGCAGGTTCCCAGGGACCACGCACCCCGACACGATGCCCCCGTGGGCGGCCTGGCGAGCGCTCTCCGTGGTGCTGATCGTGGCCTGGGCGCGCCCTCCAGCTGCCTGCGCCTGCCCGCGCCCCTGCGCCTGCTACGTCCCCAGCGAAGTGCACTGCACGTTCCGCTCCTTGGCTGCGGTGCCCGCCGGGATTTCTCCACATGTGGAACGGATCAATCTGGGGTTTGTACCGCGTTCCCCCTCAGCCCACCCCCTCCCTCAGCCCGCGTGTTTCTTGGGTGTGGCATGCACGTATGTGCGTCCCTGCGCATGAGTGTTCCCTTACTTGCTCTTTCTGCAAGTACGGGCTCCTTGGCAGATTGAACTGCACGAAGTGCAGCGGATTTGGGCTCTTATCCCAAGACACCCAACAGCTGCCGCCACGGTGAGAAAGCGTGAGAGCAAAGCACCGTGACCCACTTCGATTGTAGAAGCCGTTTCCTTGACAACAATTTCTTGATAGGCTGTCAATACCAATGCCCACGACACACGCGTAAAAATGACACTATTATATTAGAAGACATCAGAAACTATGAAAGAGCAATAAACACAGTAAGCGAGGCCTCTCTGGCATTTTGCAACGTTCCTGGAGGAGGCAACTGTGTCTTCCAGGAAACAAAAGAATCCTTTACCGTTCGGCCTATTTGAAATGTCAGTCTGTGGAAGAGATATTTTAACGATGTGTTCCAGATAGAATCTTTCTATTTTAGAACTTTATTGCATTCACTTGAATGCTGGGTGCAGTATATCCATAAATGTTCATTGCTGTGAGTTATAGGTGTACCATTTTCATTGTAAACAATCATGTGGTGTTATTACTTTTGATCATCTAGAAAACAAGAAAAGGAATTCAGGGTTTGGGGAGGACCCCCTCTTGAGACATTTCAATAACATGAAAAAGTCAAACTTGAATCCATGAACATAGGATTTAGACCTTGATGGACAAAAAATGTTTTTAAAGTCTTCTTGCCTTTTTTTTTTTTTTTTTTTTTTTTTTACTTTCAGGTCCAGAGGTAGAATAACATAATGGGAAGTTATTACAATAAGACAGAAATTCCCCTAATCCAAGGCAACAGGCCACTAAAGCGTTCCTCGGTAAAACATTGGGAAATGGGATTATTTCTGTGTCTGAGTGTCCAGCTACAAGGATCATAGCTCCTTGGGGAAAACACCAGTGGTTTGCCAGAAGCAGGAATATTAATATCTCAGCCAGCTTCCTCTTTACAATCGTACAGTTTATTAGGGCCCATTTTAGCATTCTGATCCCATGAGATGCTTTTGCGTAACATTAAAGATAAAACAAAAATAACTCAGGAATAGCTTCACTGCATAGAAATGGAATATATTACTTGCATCTGGCTGAATGTGTAACATGAATCAATGTGCCCCACTTTTTTTTAAGTTGCATTTATAATCCCATAATTCTGTTTTTGAAAGACTCTTCTGAAAGTTGGTAATGAACCGGGCATCAGGTATTTGATTGTGGGAGAAATAAGAACTGTGTTCAATACAGACCCCACTTGAGTTTTGCTCACTCGTCTTTTAGCCATTCTGGAAAGAATAGAAAACTCTCAAGGAATGAAGGATTATTGGCAGAGCCTTCGTGAGGTATTCGGTCTCCACACAGATGTTCTTAGAATTCCCCATCAGGATTGAGGGAGAGATTTGCTGTTTCCTGTTTGGATAGCTCAAAAGCTTCCCCCAACCCCCCCAAAAATTTGACTTTCCAAATATTTTTGAGCAAACAAAATAAAAACATCCACTTAGTGTCTGATTTACAGACATTTACATGTTCCCCCCCCCCCCTTGATTAAAACACTGATTTTGGTAACGTCTTTCTGGAGTTTCCGAAATACGCACAGCGGTCTTTTATTATTAATATTTTTTTTATTTTCAATTTTGTTTTGTGATACTAACCGGTCTCCATGAAGCAGTTTTGCACATACGTCAGGTGCGAAAGAGAACATTGCACTTAGTTGGTTCCTTAGCCAGGAACTGGCCATCAAGAGGCAAGAGAGACGCTGCCGTATCTGCGCTGGTTTCCGCTGGATGCACAGGACATTCACGCTCACCCCCTGCAGACCTCTCGGGCCTTAGCTTTGGTCTGTTTGAGAGACACCGCCCCATCTGTAGCTCTGTGGCAAATGTTAAAAACAGACACAAGAAGAAGTTACAGGAAGACAAGCTCCTGAGCTGACTTTTGGGAGCTCATCCCCTCCTTTGGGGGACCGAGACCTTGGCCTGCACCTCCTCTGTCTCCGCACCTTCCTCCTTCTGGACTCTCTGCTCTCCTTTTCCCCCAGGGCTTGACTCCGTTAGGCCGCTGGGCATTGCCCCCTAAATGTACACATTCGGGTGCTTCTCTTGGTCTTGGGCGCCACCTCACTCTGGAGTGTCACAAACATCTCAACAGAACATGGCAAATAGCATTTTACATCCCGCGCGCACACACACACACACACACCGGTCTCGACAGATGGCGCGGTTCCCTTGTTCGCGCACATCCACATCCAGTGGAAGCCGTCCCTGTGGTCTGCTCCTTGCTGTCAAGTCCTTCGGGCAGCCCTCCTGGTTGGCCCTGCCAGCCAGCACACCCGGAAGGACCCCCGCCTCCTTTCTCCGCATCGTCCCTCCCCTCGGCCACGGACAGCGGCGTCTCTCCCAGGATGCACCTGGTCTTCTGCCTCCTTTCTCGGCCATCTCTGGCCCCTTCCCCACGCAGTGGCCAGCGAGGTTATTTTCACACATGGCTCTGCTCACATCCCTCCCTCCCTTAAAACTCCCCTACGGCTCCTCAGGGAACTCAGAGCAAAGGACCCTCTCTCTCTCCTCGTGCCTTTCCGGCCCCGAAGTTCCGGGTCCCTGCCAGCCCTACCTCCTCCCCCTATACCAGGGCCCTCCTTACTGTTTGCACACAGGCATCACTCTCCCAAAATGGGGGGAAAAAATTGAGATCTGGTTTCCCATCTCCTCGCTATGTTCCCCACTCAAGACAGATGTCATTGTAGAATCCTAAACAATGATAAGCCAATATGGCACATCACTAAGCCACAGGCAACCGGATCGTGTGTCTCAACTGTAATCGGCATATAAATTTTAGAAGTAATCTAAAACAAAATTTTTTTTAACAAAGAGTTTTATCGCGGAAAGGTGCGCACTGACCTTCGTAGAGGAAGTAACTACCGAGCTATTGACTTCAAAACTGGGGCAGGGTTTAGGCGCCCAGGTGCCTACCTGGTCATACGACCTGGCCACTGCTGGCTGCGTTTAGCTACGAGCTGTTGACGTTACTTCTCTACACGCCCCTTCCTTTTTATTTAGGTGATAAGGGGAAGAAATAAAGTTGGGCTGGATATGTTATGTTTTAGGAGAAACAGGGGCCTGGCGTAGCTGACCTCCAACAGTGCGAGGTTGATAGCTTCCCATTCATTTTAATATGTTTAACCGTCACCTGAAGATATGTTTATTGACTTGAGAGAGAGAAACATCGCTATGAGAGGAACATGGATTGGTGGGTTGTCTCCGTTATGCGTCCCGACTGAGGATCGAACGCACAATGTAGGTATGTCCCCTGACCCGGAATCGAACCCATGACCTTTCGGTACATGGGACGATGCTCCAACCAACTGCGCCTCCCAGCCAGGTCTCTGTTCTTTTTCTAATCGGTTCTTCCAGGATTAATTTTGGCGATTCCTGGAGCCATTGCAACATAACAGGGAGGCTCTTCGCGTCCAGGAAGCATCTTGACTCAGGTTGATGCAAAAACAAAAGCCAAACCACACCAGAATATTTACAAAGAACATAAATAACTTACCAGAACTGGCAACTTGTCCGGGGAAATTGGGGTGTCTGTGTTTCGCTGTAAGTGTTACACGTTGGCCCTTTACATTTGTTCTTTTACAACACGTTATTGTTGTCGTTGACACTATTGCAGACGTCCCCATCTCCCCTCCCCGCCCCCCAGCTCCTTCCCTGGGTCCCTCGTCACACGGCCGCCCGTGTCCGTGGGTCAGGCGCATGTGTCCTTTGCCGACTCCCCTCCCCTCTGACAGCTGTCAGGATGTCCGTGGGTCCGGGCCTCTGTTTCTGTTTTGTTCCTCAGTGTATTCATTAGATTCCACATAGGAGTGAAATCTTATGGTCCTTGTCTTTCTCTGATTGGCTTCTTTTGCTTAGCATAATACATTCCAAATACATTCCAGGTCCACCGATGCTGTCGGAAAGGGTAAGACTTCCCTTTTGTTTTGTTTTGTTTTTGCTCTGTTTGATCACAGTGCTTCCTTATTATATGCAAAGCTCCTTCTGACCGTACCCTTTTCTTTCCACTCACTGGGGACCACGCGTCTTCCATTATCGTGGCTCTAGGACCGTGGGGTGTCCAACCAGTAACGGCCTCCTTTTAAAAGTCAAAACCCTGTGCATCTCCCTAAATAGCCTCTGACTACATTCGCATATTCTGACACAATTCCCAGCAAACCGGCAGGACGGAACAAGGGCTAATACAAAGCTGTCCTTGTGACCCTACCCAGGGACAAGGACCCAGGAGACGCATGGGCTTAGGCAACAGCATCCGTGAACCCTCAGAACCCGCGTTTTTGGCTGAGTTGTGTTTTTGTAAGGTGGGGGAACCATTTCCGTGGGGGATTGTCGAGTCCTCTGAGCCTCGGTCCACTCGTTTGTGTTGCAGGTTTAATAGTATACAGGGTTTGTCCGAGGCCTCCTTCGCAGGGCTCGCCCAGTTGGAGCTGCTGATGCTTCATGGCAACAACATCCCGAGTATTCCCGACGGCGCGTTGAGAGACCTCAGCTCCCTCCAGGTAAAGCTGGGCGTTTAGTAACAGTCCTTTTGTTTTTAAAGATTTTATTTATTTTTAAAGAGAGAGGGAGGGAGGGAGAAAGAGAGGGAGAGAAACATCCCTGTGCAGTTGCCTCTCACGCGCCCCCTGGTGGGGACCTGGCCCGCCACCCAGGCAGGGGCTGTGACCGGGAATCGAACCGGAGAACTTTTGGTTCACAGGCTGGCGCTCAACCCACTGAGCCACAGGAGCCAGGGCTGCTAATAGTTCTAACTGCAGCTTCTGGGACCATCCAAAACTAGGAAAACACTGTAGTGCTCCATAGCGATTTATAAAACAGCCCATTTGACCTAAAAAGAAGGTTGCTGATTTGATTTCTTTACTACACTGATTAATCTGTTCAAATTTCTTGTTTGACTCCGTTTTAGGACACAGTATGTGCATTGCAGCACTATTTACAATAGCCAAGATTTGGAAGCAACTTAGGTGTCTGTGGATAGATGATGAGTAGATAAGGAAGAGGTGACTCACGTACAAAAGGAATATTAGTCAGCCATGAAAAAGAGTGAAATCGTACCATTGGGGACAACATGGGTAGACTTCGAGGGTATGGTGTTGAGTAAAATAAATCAGAGAAAGACAAGTGTCCTACGACTTCATGTAAATGTGGAATCTAAAGAACAAAATTAACAAACAAACAAGATAGAAGCAGAGGCATGGATACGTGGAACAGGCTGATGACTCCCCAAAGGGATGGGGGTTGGGCAGCTGGGGGAAACAGGCGACGCGGTTGAGAAGTAGAGATCGGCCGTTACAGAGGAGTCGTAGGAGGTCAAGCCCAGCACAGGGAGTGGCATCTGTAATACTGTCGTACCTGTACGGGGCCAGGCGACCTCTGCATGTCACAGGAGAATCGCTGGAAGGCCTATAAATGTCAAATCAGTAGGCTGTACACCTGAAACTAACAGGACATTGAAAGCCCACTGTAATTCCAAACAAAAACTGAAAAAAAAAGAGAGAGAGAGAGAGAAAGAAAGAGAAAAACTAAAACAACACAAAAGACAAGGTTCGTGCCAGCCCCTTCCTGCCCTCCGCTCTGTTCTCTGACCGTCGCGGAACCTTCCCCCACCCCTCCCACGCCCATCTCTGCAGGTCTTCAAGTTCAGCTACAACAAGCTGCGGGTGATCTCCGCGCAGACCCTGCTCGGGCTCCGGGCCTTGGTGCGCCTGCACCTGGACCACAACAAGATCGAGTTCATCCACCCGCAGGCCTTCCAGGGCCTGACGTCCCTCCGGCTGCTGCACCTCGAGGGCAACTTGCTGCAGCAGCTGCACCCCGACACCTTCTCCACGTTCTCCCTTCTGGGCTCCTTCCGCCTCTCCAGCCTCCGGCACCTGTACCTGGCCGAGAACAGGATCCGCAGCCTCCCCGACGGGATGCTGCGCAACATGCCGCTGCTGGAGAACCTCTACCTGCACGGGAACCCCTGGGCCTGCGACTGCACCATGCGGTGGTTTCTAGACTGGGAGGGCAAGTCCAAAGGTAAGGAGGGCAGGCGGCGTGCGTGCCGGCTCACCTGTCCGCGGGAGCTGCCGCCTCGCCCCGGCGGAGGTGGCTTGGGCTGTTATGGGGAGAGATCCCATCGCAGCGGAGGGAGGCAGGAACGGCATGTGTGAATGGCGACACAGTCAGCATCCGCAGACCCCCCGTTCATCATTCCAGTGCATTACAACGCTTTAGAAAATGGGTCGTTTATTTATCTCTTTTGTAATCGTCACTCAACGATATGTTTCTCGATCTTCAAGAGAGAGGAAGGGATAGACAGAGGCACAGAGAGACAAAGAGAGAGAAGCATCGATCTGAAAGAAACATTGAATGGTTGCCCCCCGTATGCTCCCCAATGGGGAACTGAACCCGCAACCTAGCTGTGTGCCCTGACAGGGGATCGAACCCACAGCCTTCTCATGTACGGGACACAACTCCAACCTACCGAGCTCCGCGGCCATGGCTAAGGTCATGGTAATTTGATCAGTTCCATGCCGTTGTTGTGATGCACATGCGTGGCAGGTAGGTGTGTGGTGTTGTGCATCGCGCCCTGTGAGGAAGAACTCAACGGGTGCTTGGGGAAGGGAAGGGCGCGGTGGCTACGGGACCGTCCTTTTACGGAGGGGGAGACACACGTTCTGTACTGATGCACAGAACAAACACCTTCAGAACCCGAGCTGAATCCTAAGAACGTGGATTTTGATCCCCAATAAGGAAGGTTTTTTCTCCTTTTCCTTTCTTTACACCCGCCCCCGCCGCCTCGCATCCCTTCCCCAGGGGCCATTGGCTTCGGCGCACCCCGGGTTTCTTTGCTCCCCTCCCTGGCCACAGCCACCCGCGGGGGTCAAGCGCCTTTGTTCCGTCTCTCGGAAGAGAGTGGAGCGTTCCGGCTGGGTCCTCCGGCAGCCAGGGCTGCCCGTCTTTGCCGCCAACCCTTCTACCATCAGCACAACCAGTCTTTATACTGATGACCTGCTCATGCTGAAATCTTCTACTGCTCTCCTGCTGCTTTTGGGATAAAACGCACGCTCCTGACCAGTAGTTCCCACACACAGGTGGTTCCATGGACCACGTCCTGGTGCCCCTGTCTCCCTCAGTCACCCTCTTTACAATCTCCCCAGCTGATTGGCAGCTCAACACCATGGCACTTGGTCAACCTCCTGCTCAGACAGTTGTCGGCAAGGCCTGCAGGGGGCTGCCTTCAGGTCGGCGCCCAGATCTGTGATGGAAGCCCCCGTCGGGGAAGGGTCTTCCCCATCTCGCCCCTCGGTCTGGGCCCCGTCAGGGACCCAATGTATGTCACCATTGCTTGTGGCTGCTTCCGGTGGCAGGCGGCCTTCTTCCAGGGGTTGGGTGAGGCGCCCCGGTGCTCCTCTCTGCGGGCCCACCCTGCGCTAGGCACGAGTGTTGCTTCATCAGACAATCAAAGGGGAGATACAGGTCCACATGCTTCTCCGTCCTTGTAACTACAAAGGACACGTGTCACCTCCACGCACACTTCATTGGTGGGAAATAGTCCCCCGATATGGGGTGCCAAGTCAGGGGGACAGGAAGTGCACTTGGTGTGTTGTTTCCCAGGAGAAACAGTGCCCCATGGAAGGGACCACAGCGCCGTCTGTGCCATTCTGGAGGTCCCTGGGCGTGCTTTCGCATCTGCCTGTGCACACGTGCAGGTCTGCGCCTGTGTGCCTGTGTGTCTCTGCGTGTATGGGTGATGTGTCTGTGTGTGTCAGAAGAGGTTTGGGAAAGGGCCGTATTTGCATTTTGAGGTGTTCCCTCTGAGAGTCGCATGGAAAACTAGGGGGAGGGAGGAGAAAAGAAATACTATGAGACCGCCGAGAGGGGTTACGGTGTGTCACGTCGTAAGTGACAGTGGTTTGGTGGATTCCAGTGGGAATAGAAAGAGGCCAAGACGCCTGTTCAAAAGCATTTCTGCCCTGCCTGGCGGGGGGGGGGGGGTCGAGTGGAGTAGCATCTCAGGCAGCAAACGGTGTGGGCTCGATCCCCAGTCAGGTGCATACAGGAAGCGCCTCATTGATATTTCTCTTTCACATCAATGTTTCCATCTCTCTCCCCCTCTCTTTCTCTGCCTCTGTCTCTCTCTCTCCCCCTTTCTCTCTAAAAACAATGGGAAAAAATGTCTTTGGGTGAGGATAAAAACAGAATTACAATAAAAAAATACATTCTTAGAAAGTACTCATTATTCCTGGTCCTGCAGTTCTACAACCCTGCGCAGTTACCACACACTGTGCTACACCAATTTAACGTTGGAAGGGAAGCCCCCGAGGCAAGGGGACTGAAGTGTTAACTCACTAGGGAAATGCACGCAGGTGGGACCCTCGTGCCCGTGAAACCCCTTCACCCAGGGGCCGATGTTTGCTTCACGAACGTGTAACATGCCCGTTTGCTTCTCTGTCTCAGGGATTCTGAAGTGCAAGAAAGACAAAGCCTATGAAGGGGGTCCATTCTGCGCCATGTGTTTCAGCCCCAAGAAGCTGCACAAACAAGAGATTTCCAAGCTCAGGGATGTGGCCTGCATGAAGCCTTCCATCGAGTCGCCGCTGAGGTACAACGGCAGCAGCGGCAGCAGCGAGGAGGAGGAAGACCAGGAGCAAGACAGCGACAGCCGGCCGTCCCTGGAGGGCCTCCAGTTCCCGCCGTGGAACATCTCCTTGAACATGAGCGATGAGCACGGCAACACGGTCAGCTTGGCCTGCGACATCAGGAAGCCGACAGACGTGCACAAGCTTCACCTGAACCAAACAGACTCTCAGGACATAGATATCAACGCAACCATCGCTCTGGACTTGGAGTGTCCCATGACTCGGGAGAAGTATGAGAAGTTGTGGAAACTGATCGCTTATTACAGTGAGGTCCCTGTGAAACTGCACCGAGAAGCCACGGTCACCGAAGGCCCCAGGGTCAGCTTCCAGTACAGGCAGGATGCCGAAGATGATGCCCTGTACTACACGGGGGTCCGAGCGCGTGTTATTGCAGAGCCCGAGTGGGTCATGCAGCCGGCCATAGAGCTGCAACTCAACCGACGTCACAGCACAGCCAAGAAGGTGCTGCTCTCTTACTCTGCTCACTTCTCTTTCACCGTGTCCAGCAAAGACGCAGAGCAGACTCGCGGCAGGAGCTGGGTCATGATCGAGCCCGCTGGCGCTGGCCAAGGAGCTCAGACCGTCTTGGAAGGGGCTCCGTGCCAGCTGAGCTGCAACGTGAAGGCTTCAGAGAGTCCGTCCATCTTCTGGGTGCTCCCGGATGGCTCTGTCCTCAAAGGACCGATGGAGGACCCGGACGGCAAGTTCTCCATCCTCACCAGCGGGTGGCTCAGGATCAAATCGACAGAGCGGTCAGACTCGGGTCTGTACCAGTGCGTTGCTCAGGTGAGGGACGAGATGGACCGAGTGGTCTACCGGCTTGTTGTGGAGCCTCCTGCCACTCAGCCCTCGGGCACACATACAGTGACAGTTCAAAAGAACTCAGGGGAGTCGCTGATGCTGCCTTGCAATGCGCTGGCAGTACCTGAAGCCCAGCTTAGCTGGATCCTTCCAAACAAAAGGATGATTCATGATTTGGCCAACGCGTCGCAAGTCTACATGTTGCCCAATGGGACTCTCTCCATCCCCAAGGTGCAAGTCAGTGACAGCGGTTACTACCGATGTGTGGCTGTCAACCAGCAAGGGGCTGACCGTTTCACCGTGGGGGTCACCGTGACAAAGAAAGGATCGGGCAAGTCATCCAAAAGAGGCAGGCGCCCCAGTGGGAAGACTCTTTCACGGCTCCAAGGAGACGTTGTGGAGGATGAGGGGGGCTCGGGCATGGGACATGAAGAGAACCCTTCAAGGAGACTTCTGCATTCAAAGGACCAGGAGATGCTCCTCAGAACAAAGGAGGACATGAGAACCAAGAAAGGGCGCAGAAAACCAAAACCCTGGAAGAATTCTGAAAAAGAGCCTGAAAGCAACATCGCCGAAGGTCGCAGGGTGTTTGAGTCCAGACGAAGGATAAATATGGCCAACAAACAGATTAACCCAGAGCACTGGGCGGATATTTTAGCCAGAGTGCGTGGGAAAAATCTCCCTAAGGGAACCGAAGGGCCCGAGGCCGTGCAAAGCACCACTCCTCCGTCGGTGAGTCTAGAAGTCACCGCCGTCTTGCCCGTTGTTTCTCCTCCCTCCATCTCCCCCGTGCAGCCCGCAGCTGGTGCAGAAGAATTCTCAGCAGATGCGTCTTTATTCAGTGAGGAAGAGCGGGTTTCTAGGACCATCTCCCCGAGCAGCATGAGTCTAGAACCAGGCCAGACTGGAGCCTTCCCGGCTGAAGCCAAAGCGACAAGCCCGGATTTGGAAGAATTCATCGATGATGAGCTTTCTGAGAAGACTGAGGATCCGATTCGGACCGAAGTTGCCCCAACGTGGGCTGCAGCCACTACGTCGATGTCTTATGTGCCTTCTAAATCTCCCACCCCACAGACGCAGGATGCAATCTCCCAAGAGCCCACCGGGGACAATATTGCCACGGAGGGCTGGTCTGCAGTAGGCGTTACACCCTTGCGAGAGCCTGCACCCCATGAAGACCAATCTTCTTTGGATGCCACCTCGTTGGCTGAATCTGAGCCCGAACTGGAGATTCATTCACAGCCAGCTGGAGAGAAGATGAGAGAACAGGATTCCAGACGCTTTACTCCATTGCCAACCTTGTCAGTGGTTGAGTCCAGGACGTCTGCGCCAGTTGGAGATTTCACGTTAGGGGAGCCCGATAGCCCAACACGAGGACATCGACGAGAAGAAACGGGCAACCCCCAGCTTACGCAAACTGGTGTAAGCTCCCAAGGCAAGCCCCTGGTGAAAAAGGGCACCCCGAAGAGCGCTGTGATTCGGGGGGGAGACAGGCCGGAGAGACACCCTGCGCGCTCTAGAGGCTCCGACAGGAGGAGTCAGAGCATGGAATCCACCACTTTGCTTGGCTCTGCGCTGGGAGGCAAAGACAGCGCGGCGCCCTCTGAGAGTCGCAAGGAAGCCACGCTCAGTTCTCGGTTCGACAAGGACACCACCACCCTAGCTACGATGACGCCAGCCCAGAAGGCCACGATGCCACCAGCACCCACCACCCAGCCTCCTCGGAAAAGACCCAATGGGAGGAGAAGGTTACGGCCCCACAAATTCCAACATCGGCACAAACCAACCCCATCCACAACTTCTGCCCCCACGGAGACTTTTTCTACTCGGCCAACCCAAGCGCCTGGCATGAAGACCCCCAAACAAGTGGATGCTTCGCTGGTTCCTACATCTTGGGTGGAGGCTACGGTTGGGATCCCAAAACAGGTGGAAGTGGGGACGCATGCAGAACATGCAACCAAGGGAAGCCCACGAAGGAAACATGGGAAGAGACCCAACAAGCATCGGTACAGCACGTCTACAGCGAGCTCTACTGCATCTGCGTCCAAGCCCAGTCTTTCTTCAGAAAATAAGCATAAAAATGTCATTAACCCCAGCCCAGAAATTTCACGTGTACCTACAACCATTTCTCCGAGAACTGACGACCCACGGGAGGTAACTAGAGTGACAGATTATATGACAACCACCGCCAAAATGCCTGCACCTCATCATGCATTCCAAGACACGGTTCCAGGCACACGGAAGCCTGTGTCTGATGACAAAGAAATGAAGAGTTATGGTGTCACAATAAACATCGATGACAATAAAACGGACAGTTTCGTCCCTGGCAAGTCAGGCATGAATGCTCTATCCCCTTCAGTCCCCCAGGTCTTCACTGTGGGAGAATTTGAGGGAGAACCCCCTCCTTCTGGGTCTCCTGGAGGCTGGGATCCCCCAAGGCCAACCCAACCCGGGAAGCTGCCCACAGATACGCCTGCCACCATTTCTTTGGAAAACCGTATAGACTCATCACCATTTCTGAAAGAGTCCGAGGGCATCGATCTTCCCGCTGAGGTGTCCCCTTCTCCTGCGGTCTCGACAGTATTTCAACTGGCAGAAGTCGTTCCTTCAACTGCGCTCTCGGGCACAAAAGCAGAGTCATCGTCACGTCAGGCAGAAGCCACCCAGAGTGAGCAGGACTTTTATGAAACCACGGCAGCTCTTCCTCGTTCTGAGATGAGACCCGAAAACCAAGTTCGCCCTCCTGCCCCAGTGGAAGAACCTGCACCCTCACCGCCGCCCACAACTCTCGCGTCTGTAGTGCAAACCACCCTGAAGCCCGCGCGTCTGACGTCAACAGCACCTGCAGTGTCAACGGACGCCAAGGAGAGTGTTTTCTTCAATTACGTGGGGGTCCCAGAAACAAAGGCACCCCCGGTGACAAAGGAGGGGACACAGCCTCTATGGAGAACAAATGAATTATCCACCTCCTCGCCCATGGAAGACGAATTTAAGTTAAGTCCAAAGCAGGGGTTAGGAAAGGAGGCATTCGATGATAGGGCCCAAAATACCCTTCCACGCGGCCCCGATCGTCACCGCCAAGATGGGAGAGTCCACGTTTTCCACCCACCGACCAGAGTCCCCCCAAGAGGGACGATGACACCACTTTACATGACCGCACGAACTCCCTTCAGATACCTGGTAACTTTGCAGCCTTCTCATCACTTCACCAATAAACCGGGAATAACTGCATATCCTTCGAGGGTTTTGCCAGAGAATAAGCACTCTCCGACCCCCAAATTACCAAGCCCCGCAGCCCCTGCTGACCCATGGCATGGTTCCCAACCCAATAATCTGCCCGAACGAGGAACTGACCGGTTCAACGGCAACTCCCAAGTGTTTGGAAATAACTACCTGCTGGATCTAAGAGACCCTGTGGGCAGGTTTCCAAATTCAAGAGCACCTTATGACTCCAACGGACGGCTTCCTTTCTTTTTCAACAGGACCTTCTCTTTCCCACAGTTGGGAGTTACTCCAAAGCCCCCAACACCAACATCTCCCGTCCCAGCGACGACAGAGAGAAGAGACAACCCAAGTCCCTACAACAGGATACATTCACACAGCGTCATCCACATGGACTTTGGTCCCCCAGCACCTCCATTGCTGCCCCACCCCCGGACGATGTCACCACCGTCCACAAACCGACAGAACATCCCTCTGGTGCACCCCACCCGGAGCTCCATCCCCTTCATGACATCTCCAGGCCCTCCTTCCAGAAGCTTCCATCAGAGCAGCTCAAAGTTCTTCTCTGCCGGAGGGCCACCTGCTTCCAAATTCTGGACACTTGGGGAAAAGCCCCAAATTATCACCAAATCCCCTCAGACTGTGTCTGTCATCGCAGACACCGATGTCCTGCTGCCGTGCGAGGCAACGGGGAAACCCAAGCCTTTCGTGACCTGGACCAAGGTTTCTACAGGTAGGACATTTAAGTGTCTGCATCTTAACTGGGACTTGGGTGGGAGGTGTCGGTTCTGTCTGTGACCTCAGGCACCACCAGAAACTCTGGGGAGAAAGACAGGCTGATGGAGAAAGGCGGGACATCAGAGAATCCAGCTAGAACATGGTCCTGTACAGGGGACAGGAAGAAAGGAACTAGAATGCACATGACGTTTCCATAGAGCTGTGGAGCCAAGTGACAGGTGCTTTGGATGGGGAATAGTGTCCATTTCGGGATGCTTCGCCAGGGAGCCTCTTACCTTTTCCCGCAAGAAAAGTCTTCTACCTGCCATATAGGGTGCAGTGTAGGCTCGGGGAAGGTGGGTCCATTTGCCCAGGCCTTTCAGCGCCTCGTAAAGGGAAATGCCCCTTGTTCTGAGATCACCAGGCATTGCTTTGATTTGAGTCTAGATCTACAGCTGGATTTGTTGGCTACAGCTTCCATAACACATACCGCAGACGGGGCAGCTCAGACAAGAGATATTTCTTCCTCCCCGTCCTGGAGGATGGAGCCTGAGACCCAGGTTCAAGCAGGGCCGGCTCCCCCTGAGGCCCCTCTCCTGGGCGTGGGGACGGCCGTCCTCTCCTGGGTCCTCCCACGGGTGTCCCTCTGGGTGTGTCTGTGTCCCCATCTCCTCTTCTTGCAAGCACCCCAGTTCTAGGGGGTCAGGGCCACCCTCGTGACCTCATTTCACCTTAATCACTTCCCTAGAGACCACATTTTTTAACTCAGTCCCATTCTGAAATCCTGGGGGTTCGGGTTTCAGCATATTAATTGGGGGGAGATGCAAGTCAGCCCATAATGATGCTCTAGACTATGGTCTCTACTCGTCTTTCCAACACCCCCAAAGAGCCCTTTGCTCCATAGACCTGACACTTGCTTTGTCTAAATGCAGAGATGATTTCTAGCTGATAGAAGAAAGTGAAGCCCAGAAGCTGTCCCTCTTCCCCATTTTCTTTGTTGACTCGGCTGTGACCTTCAGGCCTGTATTCTGATCAGAGAGAGGCTTTTCCTCCTCTGTTTTGATCACGCAGTGATGATTTATGCTAATAGCCCTCGGGAGAGCACTATGCCCATCCTATCACACATGTGTTGCAAGCACGCCAAACGTCAGGCGCTCAGAGCGCGAGGGAAACTGGCTCTTTGATCTCCTCAGCGTCTGATGCCATGTTTTTCATCATGATCCCTCAGCAAGTTTGCTGGAAGCGGTTCATGGCAACCCGTGGGTTCGTCTTTGTAAAAGGAGCGAGCCTAGGAAGGAAGACATTTTCTTTCCCAGGGAGGTTCCATTGATTCTTAGGGTCTTCTGTACCCTGTTCCGTGTCTGAGCATCCCTGGACCGGGCCCCCTCGGTAGACGTCCACACACATGCTGGCCACCTCCAGGAACCCCCTCCTATTGGCCAGCTGCATCTTGGAAGCCAGCCCCAGTTTTTAGGAAGCCCTTTTTCATTGCGTGCCTCAGCGAATTCCCCTTGTATTCACTGGGAGTTGACATCTATAGTCACAGCTCCTCTATTTCAGTGAGCTTCTTCTGCTGGGGCAACCAAATTAGCTCCTTTGTGGACACCACCTTATCACACTAGCCCGGCCTCATCGGCTTCTTCTCTCCTGCCCCCAATTAAGTGAAATAGTCAACCCTCCTTCTAGCTCTGCATCATAAAATGCATCAGCGGGGGTGGGATCCTCTGTGTGTGGGGCAGCGGGGGAGAGTATAGGTGGGCAGCAGGTAGCTTCCTATGCCCATGGCCACCTGTCATTCAGAAAGACTCAGGCATGAAGCAGGTTGCCTTCTGAGCTGCATCACTTGGAAAGCCCAGCCACACCTGTTCTGAGGAGGGCGGGACCGGCTCCCCTGCCCGGCAGTCCAGCTCCACCGTGAGGGGCTGTGATTTTGGCAGTTGCTGTAGGCATGTCAGCGGAGTTGTCTGAGCGTCGCCCCCTGGAGGGGCCACCCATGGGGGTGGGAGGAGTATAGGCAACTGAGGGGATGCGTGAACTTGGCAAAGGACGTGAGCCACTCAGGAACGGCACCGGAGAGTGCTTCTGGGATTTCAAGTCCCCTCTGCAGGTAGGACTCGGGTCTTAGACACAATCATTAAAAGGGCGGAGAAGAATGACACCATGAAAAAAAATAAAATAGCTCATCCTGGAAGCCGGGACCCAGGAATGCAGCAAAGATGGCTTAAAAAGGAGAGTTTTTCAGTGCGGGAACGTGGGATGTATTATTGTTCAGGCAAAGCCAACCGATGAGGGATGAGTACCCCTGAGAACATAGTGTGTTCCTCATCGTCGCTGAAGGCGGGGATGCATCTCGACACCCAGGGTCACATGGGGCAGCGCAGGCTGTCAGGACGCAGATGGAGAGACGGGACAATGTGCACGACAAGCCGTAGTGGGGTTCCTGCAGGAAGGGACGCACACGCAGACCGAGCAGGTTCAGCCCTGGCTGGGCTCAGTGATGCCCGTGGGTGGGTGTAATGCACCCAGTACTTTCCCTACTTTATTAAGCCACAGGGAGTGGAGAGTGGGGAGAAAGGGGACAGGTCCCCCAGACGGCCGTGAGATGCCACCTGAAACCACTGCCTCATGCTCAGCTCGCCCAGACAGACCAGAGACGGGCCAGCTGACTGTGGCCAAGCAGAGGTGCTCAGGGGCTGCTACTGGGCGGGTGCTTGCATCTGCCGTTTCTGCCGCAAAGACAACTATTGATGAATCACACTCGCTTGGTCTTAATGGGCAAAGCGTGTTTCTCTGGAGCCTGACTGAGCCTGTTTTTGACCCCCAGGAGCTCTCATGACCCCCAACACCAGAGTCCAACGGTTCGAGGTGCTGAAGAACGGCACCTTCGTTATCCACAAGGTGCAAATGCAGGACCGGGGCCAATACATGTGCACGGCCAAAAACCTGCACGGCGTGGACAGGATGATGGTGCTGCTGTCTGTCTCCGTGCAGCAGCCGCAGATCCTTGCCTCCCACTACCAGGACGTCACCGTCTACCTGGGGGACACCATTGCCATGGAGTGCCTGGCCAAGGGGACCCCCGCTCCCCAAATCTCCTGGATCTTCCCTGACAGGAGGGTGTGGCAGACTGTGTCGCCTGTGGAAGGCCGGATCACCCTGCATGAGAACCGCACGCTGTCCATCAAAGAGGCGTCTTTTGCCGACCGGGGCGTCTACAAGTGCGTGGCCAGCAACGCGGCGGGCGCCGACAGCCTGGCCATCCGCCTGCACGTGGCGGCGCTGCCCCCGGTCATCCAGCAGGAGAAGCTGGAGAACATCTCCCTGCCCCCGGGGCTCAGCATCCACATCCACTGCACCGCCAAGGCTGCGCCCCTGCCCAGCGTGCGCTGGGTGCTCTGGGATGGGACGCAGATCCGCCCTTCCCAGTTCATCCACGGGAACCTGTTCGTCTTCCCCAACGGGACGCTCTACATCCGCAACCTGGCGCCCAAGGACAGCGGGCGCTACGAGTGCGTGGCCGCCAATCTGGTGGGCACGGCGCGCCGGACGGTGCAGCTGACGGTGCGGCGCGCGGCGGCGAACGCACGCATCACCGGCACCTCTCCGCAGAGGACCAACGTGCACTATGGCGGGACCCTGCGGCTGGACTGCAGCGCCTCCGGGGACCCCTGGCCCCGCATCCTCTGGAGGCTGCCGTCCAAGCGGATGATCGACGCGCTGTTCAGGTACGTGCGCCCCTGGGTCACGCTCCGCCACCCCGCTCCTGTGCACGCCTCGCCTTCGAGCGCCTCTGGAGACACCTCTCCAGGGAGCATCCTGGTGCAGGATGGAGACACGCAGGTGTTCCTGCATGAGTGGTGTTTGTTGTCCACTCCTTGAAATCTGGGCTTTGTAGCCTAGCATCCCTGCTTTGCCACCCTCCACCCCCAAACAAAGCAAATAGCGTTTATTTTAACTCTATTTTTATTATTGCTGATTACCATTTCAACTATATTTTTATGATACGGTTAGATAAAGCCGTCTATTTCAATAAGGAACGCCTACAAAATGCATAGACGCCCTGGCTGTTGTTTTTAAAAGACTTAAAGGAAAGGATGGAAAGCAAAAGAGTGAAGGCGAGAATTTTTTGTAGCTTCTTTGGCTTATTTTTTTTTTAAATCTGTAATTTCTAAATCTACAGTTGACACACAATATTCTATCAGTGTTGGGCGTGCAACGCAGCGGTCAGGCGTTTATGTGACATACAAAGGGATCCCCACAATGAGTCGAGCACCCACCTGGCGCCATGCGCGGTTAGGACAGCATGACTGGCTCTGTGCCCTGTGCCAGACTTTACATCCTGTGATGATTCTGTAACCAGCAGCCTGGGCTCCGCCCTCCCTCGGCCTGGAGGCATTTAGCGCAGCAGCGGCATGGCCCACAGGGAATTCTGAAAGGCGGTTTTGTCCCAAAAGGATGCCAGCTTCTCGTCCACTGTCTTCAATTCTCCAATCCTCAAGCGGAGGGGGCGATTTTGTCCCCCGGGGACACTTAGCAGAGTCTGGGGATGTTTTGGGGCTGATGTGCCTCAGGGAAAGGAGGTGGCTCCTGGCATCTGGTGGGTGGGGACCAGGGAGGCTGCTCAACACCGTCCCGCATGCGGAACACCCCCATTGGGAAGCCATTTAGTGCTGAAGTTTACAGTCCCTTTGTGAGTATAAGAGTCTCTGTATCTATTGTTCCTCTACCTATCTATCTATCTCATCTGTCTGTCTATAATCTATCATGTACCTATTATTTATCTATCATTTATTTATCTCTTTCTCTCTCTCATCTACCTTTCACCTGTCTGTCAGCTCTCACCTGTGTAGCTGTAGACCTATTAATCATTTATCACCTATGTATCTATCATCTGACCTTTATCCATCATCTATCATATGTCTACTGACCCATTATCTATGTACCTATCACTTGTCTATCTACCTTTCTATTTACTTGCCTACCTGCCTGTCTACCTATCTATCCATCTACCTCTCTTCTGCATATCTATCTACTTATCTATCATCTACCTACCTATCATCTGTTTACCTATTTACCTACCTATCATCTATTTCTCCTTCATCTATTTATTATATGTCTAGCCATCTATCTACCTATCTATCATCTATCTATCTGTGTATCTATCTACCTATCATCTATCTATCTATGCCAGTGGTTCTCAACCAGATGGTTGCACCCACAACGTGCACCCACCAGTACAGTTGTTCTTGGCAGCACTGGGGGTGGGGGTGTTCCTACCTCGTGTGTGCAGACCAGAGATGCTGATCAACCCCGCACCATGCACAGGACAGCCCAGCCACACAGATTCATTTAGACATACATCCAAAAGAGCCAGTGTCTGTCTCATAAGCATTTCAAGGTCTAGAGGTAAGAGACTGTATTGCACAGTGAATCCAGGGAGTGTCGGTGGCTTACAGTACATCTTCAGCGTCCTCAGCCCACGCAGGAGTGCATGTCAGTGTGCGTTCTTCCCCAGGACGCGAGCAAGGCCAGCGTGCACGGGCTCTTCCCGGCAGTGTCTCTCCAGCTCTTTCCGATGCAGGAAAAGGGCAAAGATGCTTTCTCCTTCCCTACGTGAATTTTACGAGGGTGGGCGGTGTCTCGTGAACCTTGCACAGTCAACTCAGAACGCGATGTACCCAATTTTCCCTGCAAATCTTCCAGCGAGGGGTTGTATTGCCATTTAGAGACATGTTTCCAGTTGACTTTGGATGGCCTGAGGCAGTATGAAGTGTGAAAGAATATCATCCTGGACAACTTTGAACAATTCTACTAGTATCTCCCTGTAAATCACAAACCATCGTCTCTGTAGCTCCATTATGACTAAATTCTGTCCATTGATGTTCTTTGTTAAGTGTAATTAAACAGCCCACATGAGTCTTATAAAAGACCGCGTTTTTGGCCCTGCATACCAATTGGAATGATTTAAAAATACAGAAATTGGAAAACTCAGTGATGTGTGGGCACATGGTTCAGTTTCTCAGTTGATGCGGATGAGCTAACCATCAAGTCAGGGCTAGGAACCACTGGTATAGAAGTTCGCAAATATTTACAGACTTGCTACTCTACAAATTTTTGGATTCAAACGCCAGGACATATGAAACTATCTTCATTTCCCTCTTATCCCAGCAAACGATGTTGACGCAACTCACACCGAAGGCCAGCAGAACCGTTTCTTTAATCATCGTTAGTGGTTGCTTTTATAACAACAATAAGCTGGTTATCAGGTTGAATTCAATCCCAGGCAGGCTTATTTCTTTTTAACCCTCTATAACACAGTTCTAGATGTAGACTAATGCACTCTTTAGAAAGTATTTAGGGTTTAAATTGGAACCTCCCTCCCCACCCCCGCCAAGCACTCATGCCACTATTGTGATTGACACGTGATTGAGATTTCCAGCCTCGACAGTGCTAAAGCAGGGACCTCCCAAATCTGTTCACCCTGTTATTGGCAACATTCATTCTGAGTTGTTCAAGGACACATCAATACTTATAAACATGTCGCAGGCACCCTGAAGGTCCTTTGAACGTTTTTCCATGTTGCCTGTTTAAGACAATAAAGTCTTTTATAAATGGTCACTCAGAGGTGTGTGAGCTTTGATGCAACTTAAAAGAATTTTTTAATTGATCTTTAGGGAGAGAGAGGAAAGAAGAGAGACACAGAAACAGTGATTCGCCATTCCACTTACTGATGCCCTCATTGGCTGATTCCTGTATGGGCTCTGACTGGGAATCGAGCCCACAGCCTTTGCCTATTGGAGTGACGCTCTAACCAACTGAGCTACCCAGCCAGGTCTGGGTCCAACTTTTACCATTTCATGTGGGGAGAAGGAAAGCCGACTTGGGGCTGTTAGCTGGTGAGAGTCACTCAGCTTTGGTTTCTGATTGTAGGGAAGCAGACTGCATCAAGAGGGCACATTTTCAAGAATTCCACTTTGGCATGGAACCTCTGGGTAGAACCACAATTAATTATGTCATCTAGACTATAATTATTTTGCTCCATGTTGTCTCATAGTGCGACACAGTATCATTTTAGAAAATCGTCAAGAGCAAAAACAGGGTCTAAAGCATTTTTTTCCCCAAAGCACTTCATCTCTTTATGAGATGAGGTCACATTCATTCTACCTGATTTGACCCTTAACGTAATGGCTCCCCTGTCTGCCAGGCAAACGCTTGATAGACACACTGCCACCCTAACGGGATTGGTGTCTTTGTGTTTCACATTCTCACATCAGCAGCCAGGCCACCCAAACGTCAGACTCACCTAGGTATTTCTTGATGGCCGTAAAGAAATAATTTCCATATTTGGACACAATCCCCTCCAGGCTGCAAAGATCAGCTGACATTTTTCGGGAGCAGGCTTTTGTGGGCTTATAGTTCTCAGACCCACGTGGCTTCGCTTCATGCCAGGGGCCCACAGCCAGGATGTAGCATCCGGGATTCTGATGTCTTCTCCCTTTTCTTTCTCTCCATCAGCTTTGACACCAGAGTCAAGGTCTTCGACAATGGGACCCTGGTGGTGAAATCTGTCACAGACAAGGACTCAGGGGATTACCTGTGCGTTGCCCGGAATAAGGTTGGGGACGACTTTGTCGTGCTCAAGGTCAACGTGGTCATGAAGCCAGCCAAGATCGAGCACAAAGAGGAGAATGACCACAGGGTCTTCTATGGGGGGGACCTCAAAGTGGACTGTGTGGCCTCCGGGCTTCCCAACCCCGAGATCTCCTGGAGCCTCCCAGACGGCAGCCTGGTCAGCTCCTTCATGCAATCCGACGACAGCGGTGGGCGCACCAAGCGCTACGTGGTCTTCAACAACGGCACCCTCTACTTCAATGATGTGGGCATGCGCGAAGAAGGGGACTACACCTGCTTTGCCGAAAACCAGATTGGCAAGGATGAGATGACAGTGCGTGTCAAGGTGGTGGCCGAGCCGGCCGCCATCCGCAACAAGACGTACTCTGTGGTCCATGTCCCCTATGGAGATGTGGTCACCGTGGCCTGTGATGCCAAAGGGGAGCCCACACCCAGGGTGACGTGGCTTTCTCCCACCAACAGGCTGATCCCCACCTCCTCCGAGAAATACCAGATCTATCAGGATGGGACCCTCCTTATTCAGAAAGCCCAGCGCTCGGACAGCGGCAACTACACCTGTGTGGTCAGGAACAGCGCTGGTGAGGACAGGAAAATCGTCTGGATCCACGTCAACGTGCAGTCACCCAAGATCAATGGGAACCCCAACGCCATCACCACGGTGCGGGAGATCGCCTCCGGAGGGAGCCGGAAACTCATCGACTGCCAAGCGGAAGGCATCCCTACCCCAAAAGTGTTGTGGGCTTTCCCGGAGGGCGTGATCCTGCCGGCCCCCTACTACGGGAACCGGGTCACTATCCATCGCAACGGCACGCTGGACATCAAGAGCCTGAGGAAGAGTGACTCTGTGCAGCTCACATGCATAGGGCGCAACGAAGGAGGGGAAGCGCGGCTGATTGTCCAGCTCACTGTCTTGGAGCCAATGGAGAAGCCCATCTTCCATGACCCGGTCAACGAGAAGATCACCGCCATGGCTGGCCACACAATCAGCCTCAACTGCTCAGCAGAGGGGACCCCAACGCCCACTCTCGTGTGGGTCCTTCCCAATGGGACAGAGATTCGGAGTGGCCAGCAGCTGCTCAGGTTCTACCACAAGAACGACGGCATGCTCCACATTAGTGGCCTGTCCTCAGTGGACGCTGGGGCATACCGCTGTGTAGCCCGCAATGCCGCTGGCCACACGGAGAGGCTGGTCTCCCTGAAGGTGGGGCTGAAACCTGAGATGAACAAGCAGTACCACAACCTGGTCAGCATCATCAACGGGGAGACGCTGCACCTGCAGTGCCTGTCCCCTGGCGGCCGGCAGGCTCACTTCTCCTGGACGCTCCCCAACGGCATGGCTTTGCAGGGATCCCAAACCCGGGGACGCTTCTCCGTTTGGGAGAACGGCACCCTGACCGTGCGAGAGGCGTCCGTGTTGGACAGGGGGACCTACGCGTGCAAGGCAGACACCGAGTACGGCCCTTCTGTCATGAACTTCCCTGTTATTGTCATTGCCTATCCTCCCAGGATCACCAGCGAGCCCACGCCAGTGATCTACACCCGGCCTGGGAGCACCGTGAAGATGAACTGCATGGCCATGGGGATCCCCAAAGCCGAGATCACGTGGGAGCTCCCCGACAAGTCCCGTCTGACCGCCGGGACGCAGGCCCGTGTGCACGGACACAGGTTCTTGCATCCCCAGGGCTCGCTCACCATCCAGCAGGCCACACAGAGAGACGCCGGCTTCTACAAGTGCACCGCAAAAAACATCCTGGGCAGTGACTCCAAAACGACATACATCCACGTCTACTGAAGCCCCCGCCCAGAGTGTGGGCCCCCGGCTTTGCTCAGCACCTCCGAACAAAGCCCTGTTTGTAAGGCAAGCCCTGGGGTGGGGAGCCAGCGTGCGGAAAGGATTTGTCACGGCGCGCAGGGCCCCCCGCCCCCAGTTGGGGTTGGGGTTTGGGTTCATGTTGACTTTGACCTGTGCTCATTGGCAAAAGGAAGCAGCTCAGACGGGCAGGAGGGGTCACCCCTGCGGGGGCCCCCCTTCACGTTTACAGGACGCCACGGGCGGGTACACAGGGTCTGGGTGAAAAATCGTGATCGCTGGCTTGCGGATGCCGCTGCGATACTCTCACAGGGCCTGCAGCGTTTCTGAGGAGCATGTGCTGAACAGGAAGCGTACAGACGGGCAGCACCTTATTATCTCGCCTAGTTAACCGCTTCCGTTTTATGACAGAACATTCTAGAAGCAGTACTCATCTTTCAGCTACGTCCTCTGTCACTTCCAAACTCCAGTGTGACCCAGAAGGGCTTAGAGCCAGAGTGATCCAATTTTATTTCTTTTTTACTGTACAAGTTTTCTACAATACAGCTATGCTTTTATATGAAAGAACTCTTTCTCCCTGGAACTCACTTTTTATATAAATATATATATATATTTTTTTCTTTCTAATTAGACGATGAGCACAGAAAGACAAAGAAACACTTTCTGTCTCATTAAAAATAATAAATTATTGGTCTTTACAAGACTTGGATACATTAGAGCAGGCATGGAAATGTGATTAAAAAAATTCCTCTACGCCATTCTTCAAATGCAGCCATCGTTGTTATATTGCCTTTCCAGGAAATCCTGCCGGAGTTGGGGGGAGGCGGGGGTATCGGATTTCCTAGTTTATGAAGTTTATCGTAAGATCTCTAGGGGCAGACAGGGGTGGAGGCAGATGGGGGGAGACAGAAAGGATGGAGCTAAGACCGGACCCCACAGAACACACCCGGGGCGTCTCCGGAAACGTCTCCCCTGTGAATGTGTGCTCATGGGAAGCAGGAGACCTCCTATTTCCATGGCTGCTTTACTGTATTTTGAAGGTCAACATAATGTACATTGGATAATAAAAGGATATTTTCCAAATCCCCGGATACTGGTGACGGTGATGTTTTCAAACACAAAAGCGCTCCATGAGCATTTGGGTTTAAATCAGAGTGGCTGGCAAACTGCTTTTACCTGTCGCATTTGCATTGTGCTATTCCCTGCAAGCGTTTAACAGACAAGGAAACTGAGTCAAAGGCGGGGGTCCCAAAACCCATCTGACACACAAAGAGACAGGGTGGGACCCTTCCCTCCTCCCTGGTGACAGTTCTGATATGAAGAGACAGTTTGAGGATGTAGAAATACGCCATAGTCACCTTTGAGGACATTTCCCACAGGAACAAAACGCCTGGGGTGTAGGAACCGGCATTCCAGAAACAAGCAACTGTGTCGTTGTTTGGTTTCCCTTCACAGGAAGAAAAATTAGGCACCTTGAATAAATATCTGAGACAAGCCTGGCCATCATGCTTCAGACAGACGCAGCTCTACCCTTGCCAAAGAATGTCACTCATTGAAACAAAACAGTGTCTAGCCTTTCACAGCTCTGGGGGGTGGGGGCAGAGGGGTGGTCTCCAAGGATCTGTCACTCAGGAATGCATTCGTTTGCTCAAGTCTATCTGCACAGCCTGTTCTGTGAGCCAGTCCCCACATGAGCCTGGGGACCCCCAGGTGTACAGGAAACAGCCTGCGGGAAGCGTGCACGCGCCCTAAGCAAGGCCTTCAGCCCACGCAGGGAGCCCCAGCAGCAACCCCAGGGTCGTTAGGACTGGACTGCGCTCTGTGGTGAGCACTGTCCTGGGCCCTGCAGGCTCAGCAGCGGGTGTGGGATCCTCCTGCTCGAGGCCAGCAGCGTCCTGTACTCCACGTCTGGCAACCTACTGTGGCTTGCCATCCATTCTCGCCCTTTCATTGTACAGATTTTGTGATGGGTTGTCCTTGGGGGCAGGGGAGGCTCAGAATCACTCCTGGTTAAGAAGTTCTGCCTCAGCGGATGGAAGGAAGGAAGGAAGGAAAGAAGGAAGGGAGGGAGAGAGGGAGAGAGGGAGGGAGGGAGGGAGGGATTTATGGATGGATATAGATGGATGGATGGATGGATGGATGGATGGATGGATGGGTAGATTGAAAGAATATATGATAGATAGATAGATAGATAGATAGATAGACAGATAGACAGACAGACAGACTTTCATGCTAGGTCGGGGTTTCTCATCCTCACATACCCTCCCCGGAGCCTGTAGAGGGAGCGCAGCCCCACCACACCTGGGCCTCAGATGCCTGGTCTCCAGGACGGGGAAGAATGAACATCTGTGGTTTAAGTCCCCTTCGGAGGAATTGGTTCTAGCAGCCCCGAGAAACGAACACAAATAGTCTCCTTAAAATTTGCCCGTCAAGAGGGTCCTGAGGAGGGGTCAGGAAGCACCTCGTGTCTGAGTTCCAGGAAGGGACACATGAGCCTGTTAGCCCGCGATGCAGACCCGTGGGGTCAGGGATCACTAATTAGAATCACATCTGGGTCCATTGTGCTTTGCCGTAATACGCTAACCGAAGAGACTGTCTCCTCCCAAACGGCCGCTGAACATCTGGCGGGTGGGCTCATAAATCTGTGTGCACAAGCGGAATCTCTAGCTCGCCATCCATTCTCGCCCTTTCATTGTTCCCAGCCCCCCCCCCCGCCCCCCGATGAAAAGTCAAAGCAGCCCTCTCCCTGTACGGCTCGGTCTGGAAGTTCAAACACAGCACATTCGGATGAAAAGTGGCTGCAGGCTACCCCCGATGACGAGTCTCCCGCCTTCTCCTGCATTCAACGTGCACGATGCTGAGCCCAGAGGGAACTGTTCCTAAGCGTTTTCATCCTGTAAGACCCGCCTGCTCGTGACCAGTGGGGTGACTTCATGGACGTCATCAGGACCCAAGGCTTTGGCAGGGCAGAAGGGACAGTGGGAAGAGCTCGGAGTCATTGAAACATCATCCTGCTTAGCCCTCTTCCTAACAAAGTCTTCTTGAAGTTTATCGGGATGCTGCATAATGAGCCAGCGGTTCTCACTCTTGGCTTCATGCTGCAATCACTCGGGGAGATTAAAAATTCCTCCTATCTAGGGATGTTTGTTTCCCGAGGCCACCATGACAGATGACTACAAACTGAGCATTTTAGAACCACAGGAATTTGTTCTCTCTCCATCCTGGAAGCCGGATGTCTGAGGCCCAGGTGTTCCGGGGCCTCGTTCCCTCCCCAGGCTCCAGGGCAGGCCCTTCCTGCCTCTCCCAGCTCCGGGGGGCCCTGGCGTCCCTGGGCGGGTGGCCGCGTCCCTCCCTCTCTGCCTCCGTCTCCAAGTGGCTTCTCTTCTGGGTCTGGGTCTCCTCCTCTGTCCCTTCTAAGGACCCCGTCCTTGACGTAGGGCCACCTCGACTCAGTTCAACCTCCTCTCAGATATTTCCCATCTGCAAACACCCTTATGACGATCCTATGCTGTCCAGCTTGGACTGCGAGTTGCTTGTTCAAAGCCACGTAGCAGAACCAGGACCCGACCCAGAGCCAGCCTCTCGCGGCTTCTGCTCCTCCGTGGGGCCGATGAGAGCATGGCCAGGCAACCGAGGTTTTCCATACAAGACCTGGACCGGAAGTTAGGGCTTGTCTCCTAACCATGGTGGGCACCGACTTGTCACCAACGTGAGCTTCCATGTATGTAGGTGTCCCGTGACACTTACTAGAAATTATTGGGAAAGCTCCTGACATAACATACAGTTGGCGGAACAAAGGCCAAAACTCGTATTTATTTTTTTAAATGCTGCCATTGTTCCCAACCCCTAGTGAGGTAACACAAATCATCCGAGAGAGAAGCGTACATTTTTGTTTTGGAAAACGCTCTACGCTACTCCTTTGTTATATAAAGGGAATATCCTGATGTAAGGAGTTGGGGGAATCCAACACCTGAAGAGACAAGGGTGTTAAGTTCTGAGATGCCTGGTGAGAAGCCGAGAGGGGTTCGCGAGGTAGGGAACGGGGAAGACCAGAAGGAGGTGAATGGTGCCTCGGTCCCATGACCGAGGTGGTCGGCTCTCCCAAGCCCCAGACGCCCCTGACACGCTACAGGACATTGGTGGCATGTAGCTTCCCCAGCAAGAACTACATTTCCCAGGCTCCCTTGCTGTGAGGTAGGGCCATGTGACTTATTCTCACGAATGATGAGTGTTCTTTCCAGACAGGGTGCTCCACCTCCTCTCCTCTTTCCTTCAAGGACCACTGTAGCTCCCGAAAACCACTTCTACCCTTGACAGTAGTGCAGCTACTTAATGATGTTTCCTCTTCCAGCCTGAGGTGTATTGGACCCACAACCCAATCTCACACTCAACATCAAGCCATTTTTCTGATGCACAACAAAGTGCTATGTGAGGCATCAGGCCGCAAACACCTTGTGATGTTCCCATAAGATGATACCTGTGAAGGGCTTCCCCTGGAAATGTAAAAAGCAGTTATTCGGATGAGTATTTTAGCATCGTCCTCATCTCGATGGAATGATAGTGCAACTCGAATTAGTAGATGAGTTGCCATTTTTAACGACAATGTAAAACGCCCACCAGGACTTTAAACAAAGTGTTGCTTCTTAATCATCGATCAAGTGAAGGAGGCCTGATGGGTTTTATTGCGGCCTCCAGCTCTCTGACCCGTGACCGGCAGAGAAAGATGACCTACAGACCTCGTCAATGTTTTCACGGGATGATGAAACGTGGCATATGTCTGAAAACATTTAAATGCTCCGGCCCAGGCACTCCGGCTCTGAAACCCTCTATCATCTAAGAGACAGAAAGAGCAAAGTGTATCTTAACGTTTAGAAAGTCATAAGGAGATTTCGGAGTTGAGATGCGTTGTTGGGAAAAACGCCATTCCACTTTCTGTTACAAAGAAGGACACGCAAACCTACTGCTTTTGGAAATCGAAAGTG